TTCATGATTTAAATGAAATCCAACAACCAAATTGCGAATAATAACTTTCCAAATAATGTACATTTATTCAGTTTCGAATCTCGCATTCTTTCTTTTATGGTTTTACCCAATGATAATTAAGCTTAGAAGTCTAGGAAGAAGCGATGGATCTCAGTAGCATCTACAGAACTGATGGATGCTCGAAAACTCACCTGGCTCTGAACATGATGAACAGCGGAGTCAGCTTGGGTGCATGCTGATAAAACGCCTACGCAAAGATCGAGAATAGTGGTGGGTTGCGAAGGCGAGAATGACGGAAAAAGCAGAGGCGATGGGCAGCAGTAAGCAACTATGCAGAATCATCAAGGAAACTGGAATAAGAAACCCAAATGTGGATGAGATTGCCTCGGAAAAGGATGGTCCTCTTATCTATTCTCAATCCAGGAGACTGAACCGATGACCAGAACACTTTAGGCATCAGTTCAACAGGCCTTTAGCCACACTTCGGTTACCCACGATTCCCAGTCATCCTGAATGACAAATCGATGTAAGTCCCCTGACTCTTCATGAAGTTTAGAAAGTGATGGGAAACTGAAGTGAGGGAGAGCAACGGGTCCTGATAAATCGACCTCTTAGGTTTTTTAAGGATGCCGGCCCAGTTTCAAGAGCTAGATTGACTGTCTTAGATAGAATCTGGAAACTGGACGCAATCTCATCCTAAATAATATAGTATCTAGAATATTGGACCCAATACTACTTCGACACTTAACGATAGCTCGTGAAGAGCAGACTAGAGAAAACCAGGCTGGTTTTCGACCTGAACGTGGCTGTATAGACCACATTTTCACACTACGACAGGTCCTGGAACACAGACACACATTTAGGTGTCCTACAATAGTTTTTTTCCTGTACATTAAGGCGGCATTTGATTCAGTGGATCGTGAAGTTCTGTGGCAGTGTCTGTCATTGAAAAGTGTACCGAATAAGAACTTTAACCTTATACATGCTCTCAACTTGATCATTACTGATTGGGTTAGAGTATATGGCGAACCGTCACCGGCATTCGTCTGTTCAAGTGGTGTCCTTCAGGGATGTCCGCGTTCTCCATTCTTGTTTAATTTTATCATAGACATGCTCCTAGAAATATCCTTATCCTAGTTTGAATTTTGAGGATTAGACCTTCTAACTGGTGGCTCGCTTATTAACTTAGAATATGCCGATGACATAGTTCTACTTGGTGAAGACGCTGACAAAATGCAGAGTCTTCTGACTACCCCAAGGAAGCATGTTCGAAATGCGGTTTTCCCCCTCGAAATGCGAAATATTGCTTCAAGAATGTGTTGCATCGGTACTTGAACAAGTGATAGGGAGTGAAGTGGTCGAACGTGTTGACCGCCTCACTAATCTCGGGAGTCTCATCCTTGCTGATGACCTGGTGACTGATGACATCTCCGCACGGATACAGGAAGCACGATTGCGCTTGCTAACCAAAGGGCTAGTATACTGTTCAGCAGCCAGTCAGACGAGATTATGCAAACCTCTCCAACAACTAATAATACCTTTACTAGCTTTACTACTATTGGATTCGAACTGACAATTACATCCCCATGCCGTTGTGGCATGGTGACATGAACTGTTAGACGTATGTACGAAGTTCTACGTTGCGATTGACTGATTTATTGGGTCTCATGTGATGAATTCAAATACTCAATGATAGCAAAAAAGTAATGTTACTGGTATATTGAAAACTTGAAAAAATACGCGTGGTCTAAGTGGGAGCATTCGGAAAGTAGAAGTTTACTCTGCCCACCAAGGCACTCATTCATAATAGATCTGTGTTAACATCTCCGACTGGGATAACAATCAAATTTGGTGTTGATTACAAATACGCGTAATACATTTCATATGACTGAAAATGTATATCAGACTGAAACCTAAATACAGAGGTTTTCCGAAAAATACCCTTGTTTTAATAACATTAAAAAGGTGCACTACAATGAATGGACAGCAATTTTCTTACTGATTAACATAACATTTTCGAAATACGGAACTAAATAATTTATAATCGATCTCAATATAAATAAGAATGAATTCTTCAGTTCTATAGTAGGTCAATGAACAGAACAATAGTAAAATTGCTAATTGTGATGGTAGGTGATTTGGTCCACATCCAACAGAAAGTACACGATTGTACATACAATCTACTGATGAATACTAGGTAGTTCGAAGTCAATCAGTCACGGAAGTCTTTGCTAAATTCGTTTAATCACCTGATTACTGACTTACTTACGCCCGTCACTTCTAATAAAGTATAGGCCGACACCAGCGAATTATTATTCTGTTCAGCATCTGTTGAGCGAGATGGGTTTTTACGAGATTGGGTCGCTAATCACATGCACAACCGTTTTCCTTCATGAAGGCTTGGGACCGGAAGTAAAGCCAGAAGGCCTTCGGGCAGTTACACAACTAAATTGAATCTTGACTAAATGAAACAATTTTGTCATCCGGAATATATAACAAAAGACTTTTACCAAACTAAACTAGTTTCTTCAAACATCCGTTCATTATGAGAAGAAACCAGTTCCGAAACTGACTGCGAATCATTGAAGATATTCACAACGAAAATGAGAAAATCAAATTTTCAAAGTAAATAATTATTTTTCCCATTATGGAGCTATTAAGATTGTTGATCATCGTTGAAATCATGAAAGTATATCACTTTTAGACCACCATTAGCGTTCACGCGCAAGATCGTAGATCGCACGATTCGATTTCGACAAGTTGTTGATATGAGTCAGTTACCGGAACTCGATTCTTGGTTTAAATGATAAATAATCAGTAAATACCAACTGTAAACTAATGATGATGCTAAAATTAATAATATATATAATAATATAAAATGGATTTAAAAATAATTCTAAAGCGACTATGTTTTGTTATCCTAGCATCTGTCCATCATTTACCTATCTTCAATGATTAAAAAACCATATTTCATTGATAAATCGTATAAACCTTGAATAATCATTTCGGGATTTTGATTGGACAATAAAATATCCAAATGTAATTTGATAGCACAAATTTCCAATCCAATTTCATTGGTTAATTGTAATAATTTGATTGGATCTAAAATATCCAGAGCTATGCATAAACGCGATTGTTTTGATTGAATAATTTGATTTAATCGACCAAATCGAGAATGAACTCCGCCAGTAGAACCTTCGGGGCTACTGCCGGTCCCAACCCTTGGTAGAGCAGGAGGTTTGGACATGGATTTGGTGACCCCATTCCGTCATAAACTAACTTGCCAAAAAAACGCTGACCAGAAGAGCTATTTCAAACCATTTTCACTCTGCCCTGGTAGTTGGAGGAAGAATTGTGACATCGCGTGATGAAAGCGGAGTTCCTTCGGAAGTCACGGGGCCGATGCCTCTTCTGACAACCAGAGCAACCATTTTTTTAGGTACATAAAACGTTCGTACATTTTGGTAGACTGGAAGACTATTTCTTGTTGCGGCAGAAATGAAAAGATACAACCTCGAGGTGCTCGGCATCAGTGAAAGGCATTGGACACAGGTAGGACAACTGAGACTAGCTTCAGGGGAACTGCTGTTATACTCTGGTCTTGAAGAGGAAAACGCTTCACATACACAAGGAGTTGCACTGATGATGTCCAATCATGCACAAAAGGCACTGATAGGATGGGAATCTCATGGACCCAGGATCATTAAAGCATCCTTCAAAACAAAGAAACAGGACATTACAATGAACGTCATCCAATGTTATGCACCAACCAATGACTACAATGATGACGTTAAAGATCAGTTCTACGAAAGGCTGCAGTCAATCGTCGAGAAATGTTCACCAAAGTATTTGACGATTCTTATGGGAGACCTGAACGTCAAGGTTGGCATGGACAAGAAGACATTATGGACTGGGGGGGAAGGAACGAAAACGGTGAGAGATTCGCAAACCTATGTGCCTTCAAGAAACTAGTGATCGGTGGCACAATATTCTCTCACAAGCGCATACACAAAGCAACATGGATTTCACCGGACCACACTACTCAAAACCAAATTGACCATATCTGTATCAACAAAACGTTCAGAAGGACTGTGGAGGATGTGAGAACCAAGAGAGGAGCTGATATAGCCTCAGATCACCATTTGCTGATGGCAAAAATGAAACTCAAGCTAAAGAAGCACTGGACAACGGAATAGACAACATCACACAAGTTTAATACGGCCTTTCTGCGGGAGAGCGTAAAAATCAACGAATTCAAGATAGCACTCACCAATATATTCCAGGCCTTTCAGGATCTACTCAATGGAGAGGAAGCAACATTGGAGAACAATTGGGATCAAGGGATCAAGGAGGCAATCACATCAACATGTAACGAGATTCTGGGTCACAAGAAGTACCATCACAAGGAATGGATCTCTGTTGATACTCTTGCGAAAATTGAAGAAAGGAGGAACAAGAAGGCAGCAATCAATGTCAGCCGAACAAGAGCGGAGAACATTACCGCACAAACTGCATACACAGAAGCAAACAGGCAAGTGAAGAAGAGCATCAGAGCTGACAAACGAAAATATGTGGAAGATCTAGCAATGACGGCGGAAAAGGCTACAAGAGACGGAAACTTGAGACAATTGCACGAAACTACACAGAAGCTCCTCGGGAACTATCGTAAACCGGAACGACCAGTGAAAAGTAAGGGAGGCAAAGTAATCAGCAACACTGAAGAACAGCGCAATAGGTTGGTCAAGCACTTCAAGGAACTATTGAATCGACCAGCTCCACTGAACACACACAACATCGAAGCAGCATCCACGGATCTCCCAATTAATTTTGGCGCACATACGGATGGGGAGATCAGTATGGCCATCAGACAAATCAAGAACGGCAAAGCAGCAGGACCAGACAACATTCCAGCAGAGGAAATGAAAGCAGATGCAGAAGCAACTGTGAAAATATTTCGCATCCTCTACAAGAAGATTTGGGATGAGGAACAAGTACCATCAGATTGGAAAGAAGGATACCTGATCAAAATACCAAAGAAAGGCGATCTCAGCAAGCGTGAGAACTACAGAGGCATCACTCTTCTTTCAATACCAGGCAAAGTCTTCAACAGGGTATAGTTGAACAGAATGAAGGACTTCGTAGACGCCCAACTTCTAGATCGACAGGCTGGATTTCTCAAAGATAGATCGTGTACTGACCAAATTGCTTCATTACGGATCATTGTGGAACAATCAATTGAATGGAACTCACCACTGTACATCAACTTCACCGTCTACGAGAAAGCATTCGATAGCGTGGATAGAAAAACACTGCGGAGGCTTCTTCGACACTACGGTGTGCCTCAGAAAACAGTTATCATCATACGGAATTCTTATGATGGATTCGAAATCGTGCACGGAGGTCAGCTGACAGACTCTTTCGAGGTCAAGACCTGTGTGAGGCAAGGTTGCTTACTCTCACCCTTTCTCTCTCTCCTGGTGATCGACTGGATTATGAAGACGTCAACATCTGGAGGAAATCTTGGTATCAACTGGACAGTTTGGACGCAGCTGGACGATCTGAACTTCGCAGATGACCTGACCCTTCCATCGCCAACGCAACAACAACTGCAAGAGAAGACGACCAGCGAAGCAGCAGCCTCTGCAGCAGTAGGTCTCAACATACATAAAGGAAAAAGCGAAATTCTCCGATGCAACACAACATGCACCAACCAAATCACTCTTGATGGAGATTCTCCGGAGGACATTAACACCTTTACATATCTGAGCAGCATCGTCGGCAATCAAGGTGGATCCGATGCAGATGGGAAGGCACAGATTGGCAAAGCAAGGGCTACATTTCTACAGTTGAAAAATATCTGGAACTCCAAACATTTTTCAATCAAAACGAAAATCAGGATTTTCAATTCAAATGTGAAGACAGTTCTACTGATTGTGGCGGAAACCTGAGGAACTACGAAATGCATCATCCAGAAGATACAAGTGTTTATTAACAGCTGTCTACGCAAAATACTTCGTATTCGTTGTCCAGACACCACCATCAACAACGTACTGTGGGGGAAAACAAATCAGATTCCACTGCAGGAGGAAATCAGGAACAAGCGGTAGAAGTGGATAGGACACACACTACGAAAAGCACCTAACTGCGTCACGAGACAAGCACTCACATGGAACACTCAAAGCGAAAAGAAGAGACGAAGGCCAAGGAACACACTACACCGAGAAATAGAGAAAGATATGAGAGGAATGATCAAACATTGGACAGAACTGGAGAGAGAAGTCCAGGACAGAGTTGGTTGGAGAAAACTGGTGGGCGGCCTATGCTCCAATGGGAGTAGCAGGCGTAAGTAAGTAAGTAAGTGCATGAACAACAACCAAATCTCTCAAAAAGTTGTACATGATGCCAGTATACTGAAAACAGAATTTTTCGCTGTATTTGCTAATCCTCAATTTGTTCAACTGCCTAAAGTACCCACATAACCATCAATCACTGAGGCATCAACTATTTCAAATACTGGAGCTGATAATCCATTGTCTACTACTGTAAAATTAAATAAAATTAGTCAACCTACTGCTACAATACCATTTAATCGACAATCAATCAAATTGATAAGATTGAAAAACGAATTAGAAAACTTAATATCAAATATATGTATGTATATATAGACATATATACATATATATGCATGTATATATATATATATATGTATGTATAATTTACTGAAAATTTCTTTTGTTCCAAATGCTAACTGATGATGAAAATATAGAGTACAATCTCTTAATGCAGTAAGCTCATGATCGAACGGATTAATCTGGAGCCTGTACTGTACTGCTGTACAGCATTATAATCAAGATATGCCAATTAATCTAGATGGACTGTTTTTGCACAGACTTACCAGATTTAAGCTCTCATCGAGCATCCTAAATAACATACCTATTATTAAAAGTGAACGAGTAAATGGTGCCTGAAACTGGCTATTTATGCGATAATAGACATATAAATCTGTTTAAAACGAAAGCGAAATCTGTAGTTTCAAAAGTTGGACCAGTTAAAAATTATATCCGTCATTATTCAATTGTATTATTAAATAAGAAAAAAAATTCGTATCTCATATTATAAAATTCAGCCTGATATAAGAGCTCCGGTAAGACGATCTATTCTTACCACTGTTCCATTGAGGTGCAGCTCATTATTCATTCATTGTGATATGCAATCATCTCACATACTCCATTCGAATTCGGTTATGACTTTTGATGTGTGGTTCAGGTTGATTTGTGTATTTGCACATGAATAATGTCCATGATTCACTGACTTCCAATCACATCATTGTACATCTCAATGAGCTCATAGTAGCGTTCCATATTCAGTCTACAACACTTGTGTGCTTGTGCACTTGCAGTTGTTACTCATGAAATTCATTTGCACTACTGTCTGTAATCGACCAGGAGAATGAAGTTTCACCACAATTATTCCTTCTCAACACAATTGACAAACACATACCAACAGGTCCAACCAATTGTCCGTTATGCACGTCTGAACTATGTGTGAACAGGTCACGTGTTGTGATAGACAAAGTATGTTTCCAGCCCATCCGAGAATAATGCACTATCATTCTTCCTTGAAGCAATCGCATGTAAGGCGAATTAGCTCCGTGATCATCTATATAGAGGCAGGATTCAGTTTGCATTCTGATGAACGAATCTGCCTCAAACACTTCACTCAACGGCAATAAGTTTCTGCTCAAAACGTTTATGAATTGAGCCACTCAAACGAAATTCGACTCGTCTCACTGCTGTGCCTGAACATGGTTTAAATCATTGCGTGATGGCTCCTCAAATCACATCGAAAACACTCTTCTCTCAGAAACTTGATATTTACCAACAAGGAATTGATGGTCTCCATCTCATTACTTGCGTTGTTGTGATGAATTTATGTAACAAATGTTCACAGCTTATCTTCACGAGTACATCTGTTTGCAAACACTGTGTAGAAAAACATCGATCTGAACTGAAGGTTTCATACTCGAACACAATATGGTGCACAATTTATCTAATATTAAAATTGGAAACTTTTAACTGACATTTCATTCACACCTGATTATCTCGAATTGTTTCAAGTGCGTGACAGATCTACAGATATCGAATGAATTGAGCGGAATGTATTTTTCACTCATTGGACTAATCACTTCCAATGAGTTGTCGTTGATTCTGCTCAAGGTGATTAGTATAACGTACATGTCATTCGAGGTTGACGATAATTCAAGACAATTGAAACGCACATTTTCCAATTCTTCACTATTGTTCTCAGTTTCACTATGATACTCATGATATGCATATTGGACAAGCTTTCCGCTTATTTCCAATTTGAAAAAGAGTTGAGGCATGAAGTTGAATGTCTCTGCTTTCAGTTAAACACGTAAATGTAAAAAACAATTTAGTTCGCTTTCCTCATTTATTGTTCACTCTGTTGAAATGCATTTCTATTTGTAGGTTCAATACTGAGTTGAAAACGAATTTTCCGCGGTTGGATTGACCTGAGATTTCATTCCGTGATCATGATATTTCAGCTGTCTAAGAAAACTTCATCAATGACTTTAGGAAGGCAGTTGGTTTAAAATGGTCTATTTATATTATTTATTCTGATAGTTTTCATTAAGTGAAGGAGGTGACTCTACAGATTCGTTTTTGGCTAAGGGCAGTGGATAGTTGCACCTGTTTACTTACTAACCTACCTACTTACGCTTGTTGCCCTTATTGGAGCATTGGCCGCTGACCAGTTTTCTGCAACCAAGTCTATCCGGAGCTTCTTTTTCCAGTTCCTTTCAGTTGTTGTTCATTCTTCTCATGTGTTTCTTTATTCTCGGCGTAATGTGCTCCTTGATCTTCCAGTTATCCTTTTATCCTGAGAGTTCTCTGTAAGTTCTTGTCTTATGAGGTGGTTGAATGCTTTTCTAAGAGTGCGTCTTTACCTCTTTCACCGCTTCTTCCTGATTTCTCCCTTCACTGGAATTCGGCTTTTCTACTTCAGAGTAGGCTCTGGCTGATTGTGTCTGGCTAACGAATTCGAAGAATTTTGCAAAGATAACTGTTTATGAATACTTGTTACTTCTGGATGATGGCTTTGTTAGTTCTTGAAGTTTTAAGTCTACGCATTAGAACTGTCTTGACATTTGTATTGAAAATACTGATTTTGGTGTTAATTGATATTTGTTTGGAGTCCCAGATATTTTTAAATTGTTTAATTGCAGCCGTCGCTTTGACGATCCGTACCCTCTCATCTGCATCGGATCCACCTTGGTTGTCGATGATTCTGTCAAGATATTCAAAGGTGTTAACGTCCCACAAAGAATCTCCATCGTGTTGTGTTGTATAGTTGAATCTTGCTCTTACCTTTATAAATGTTGAGACTTTTCTCCCAAAGCATGTCGTACCATGATGTCTTCATATACGGTCATGTACATTTCAACCTTGACATCTAGGTCTCCCTTTTGAATCGTCGAATCTTTCGGTGGGCATCTGTCAACAATTGACTGCAGCCTTTCAGAGAATAGACCTTTGTCGTCATGGTATTCGTTTGTAGGTGCACGGCGGTGGAAGATGTTCACTGAACTGTCCACTTTCTTTGTTTTGAAGGCTGCTTTAGTGATTTCTATCCTATCAGCGCCTATTGTTCGAACCGCATTCGTGCATCTTCCTGTGAATATGATCCTTTTCCCTCCTCATGACCAGAGTATAACAGCAGTTCCACTGAAGCCAGTCTCAGGTATCCTACCTGTGTTCAGTGCGTTTCGCGGATCCAAGAACATCCTGGTTGTATCTTTTCATTTCTTCAGCAAATTGAAATAGTCTTTCCGTCTCACACTATGTTGGAAAGTTCCATGTACCTTGAAAAATGAATTCGCTGGTTGTCAGAAGAGTCATCGGCTACGTGACATCCGAGGGAACTCGGCTTTTATCAAGCGACGAAAAAACTCGTCTTTCAACTCCTAGTGCAGTGCTGAAAAGGTTTGATTATTTGTTTGCTAACATAAATAATCTCACTCCATTCAGTTTTTGTAATCTGGCATAATCAATACATTTATTAGATTATACAATAATGAACGATAATGCACAGTTATGTACACCGTTTATTTTCCTATGCAAACTGTGATCGACTAAACATTAGCATGATGCGATCCCTGAATAACGAAGATCAAGACAACATCATTCGAAGTAGCGTGTGAAGTTTGAAAATACAAACTTCTCAGTGTCGGAGCAGTGATGTTAGAATGTAGGATACTACTATTTCGCTGTGATTGATTCCAGTTATGTAGTTATGTTATGCTTGCTAAAATTATCGCTAGCCATTCTGTGTCCAATCGAATTTCCTCTCCTTCTGATGATATTGAGTAATTTGTTGCAGACAGAATTTTGGGCAGCGATTCAACTGATAATCAACTCGACCACGTACATTCAGCAACAGCAATAGCAGCACAGAAAGACACAAGCGAACAAATGAAGCCAGCACAGCTGAAAATAGAATGATCATTGCCAGTGATAAGAAAGCTGGAAAAAGCGAAACCTGCAAGCACCGGCATCTTTTGTACACACGGTTTGCATACGCAATGCATACTCAATGCAGCTCACTCTGTCGCTTATAGTAGGAAAGATAATTATGAAGAATCGAAGTGGCCATATGTGACTGAATATGCCGAAATTCATCTTTTGATTGAATTCTAATGTCTGCAGGAAATCCAGGTAGAGAAAGGTTCGCAGATCGGTATGTGAAATGCTCCGCTCCTGCGGTGGATTCGATCTCAACACCGTTAACAATCGAATAGTAGATGCACATTGCAAGACAGTTTCAGTTTATCAGTAGTTTCACACATACACAAAACAGCTAGCCATACAAAGCAATTCATAAACTGTTAATGTTCACACTAAACACGAATGGGCGAAGATTCTGAAGAACTTAACTTTGACAAAGATTTTGATCTACAGAATGTAGGAAAATAGGTGTACTGATTTCGTGCTCTTATGACTGTTCATTGACATTTTTTATCGCTCTTGTTTAGGAAATTACGGGTGAACCTCTTTCACGAGGTAGTTACTCAGATAAGCTCATAATACAATTTCTCGTTAGGAAGTGAAACCTGTACAAGGTCACGAACAGTAATGACAACCGGTGGGATACATCACCCTACTTCCGCGACTTTGTGATGCAAGGCTTCTTTACGTGTGTGGAATATCTTAATTATTGTTTTGCTCTGAGCTCCATAATTTTACGCCTCTCTGCATTACACTGTCTGTACTACCAATGTAGTAATCTGAAGCAACGCATTACATTTATTGATTGTCATCTTGGTTGTCAATACCGTCTCAGAGATTACCAGGTAAAATAATAATATTTCAAGTAGGTAGGCCAACAAATATGATGACTGACAATCTGTTGACCCTTAGTTGAAACTAAATTATATCACGTCGAGCTGTTTCGACGAATTCAAAGTAAAAAAGAGTTGGAAATATTTGTAAGTGATTGACTCTACAATACGCAGTAATTCGGACATTTATCAATCACAGCCTACCAAATGCACAACATTATCAATAACAGTCAACCGAATGCACAATATTGTGATAGAATGCATCATGTTGTAGTGCATATTGCTCAACCTGCCGTTTGTCCAAACTTATCATCGTGCTTAGTTCCGACGTTAACTTGTTTGTCTACACAACCCATATTTCTGCCACGCAGAATCGATATACTCAACTAATCAAACACATTCTACTTCTTGGTAGTAACCTTCTTAGTATTTAACCCACGTATCTTGAAACAATTCTGTACAGAGCAACATCTACAACAGGGTACGTTTACTGCGTTTTCTTAAAACTTACACTTGTCATCTAGTTGGTTGGATCACCCCACAAATTTATGTTACTATCTGTGCCACACATACTCAGTCACAATCATACCCACGCAATGTGTAACCACTTTTCACTTTACATCCAATCATTTTCAAGAGATATTGAGTTGACTAAATGACAGCCGTTACTTTCATTTGACAAACCATTATGTCTGTATGTAAAAACACAACATATTTTAGGCTAGCGAAGGTATATAAACAGCAACAGTAAAAGAATGAAGCAAACATTGTGTATTACAAATTACTTGTCGGTTCGAGTTCATCAGACATCAAGTAACTATCCGAAATGATGAACAGAATCGGCGGTCTCACGCATTTTCTTAAAATCAACAATAGCCAACAACGGAGCACCAACAAACAGAAGGCTGTGGTGGATAGTCGTAAGCATGAACATTCAGCATTTTCAACAAGATTTTCACAGATATATCGAGTACAATGAATCGTTCACCAAGGTCACTTGTGAATAATTTTCCGTCATATAGTCGTCAAGTCCCCAGTGAAGATCTGATAAACTCATACAAAAATAAATCTTGTCTCAAGAGATTTATTACAAGGAGAGTGTTACTTGTGTTAGCGATTGTATTATCCTTTGTTTTGGTAGCATGTCTTACTTACACATTTTATGGACGACCTGCAACCACACCACCTTTCTGGAAATCAACAGTTGGTTACTGGTTAGATGTGTTTGCATTCAAAGATTCTTCTGGTGATTTAGTTGGCGACCTCAAAGGTAATGAATATTAGTGTAAATTGATTGTCACTCAAATTATACTATTTCTATAGGTCTCACATCGGAAATTGATTATATCAAAACTGTGATCGGTGCAGGTTATGTGATACTGGGTCCCATCACAAAAGGCTTTTACACCAATTCACACAATCTCCTCGGATTAGTGGAAGACTATGAGCAGTTGGATGAGGCTGTTGGTACAATGGATGACTTTCGTGCCCTTTTGAAACAATTTCATAAGAAAGGTGTGAAAGTCGTACTGACGCTGAACTTCAATGCGATATCCATCAATCATAAATGGATTAGAGAAAACAAAGTCAAACTGAAGCCATTTGAAGAATCGTTTATGACTCAGGTGAAATCTTTGTCATTTTTAAATAATTTCTTGAAATTCTTTTTACATAAAGTGGGGAACTTACCGCAAACTAAGCTCTGTAAACCTCAGAGGGAGTACGTTTTATTCTGTATTCGGAGAACCCAATGTCGATCTGGATTTGACTGATCCCGCTACTCAGAAACAGATATTTGTAAGTCTCAGTGAATACGTTTACAAACTATTTGTTACTAGAATGTGATCGACACATGGATGAGTGAGGGAATAGATGGAATACTGCTGGATAACGCTGCATATTTTGTCGAAATAGAAGAAAAGGTACAAAGAGAGATAGTCGATGGAATTTATTGAATGATATCAGTTTTCCTTCTCTGTCTACCCTAAATTATTCCTTTTCTCTTGCTTTAGATTGATTCCAGTTGCACACATCCAGAAAATTGTCCAATTTCTCAGATGTACACAGACGGAAGTGTAACATTTGTTAGAGCTGTTAAAGGCGAAATAGAAAAGTGGATTAAAAATAGTGGGAAAGATATGTGAGTTTCTTCATGGTCTTTATTATGATTGATTTTTGGCAATTAAATCTAATAAGTAAATGAGACAAATTTGCAAAGTTTACTAATACTGCTATAACTTGATGACAGATTAAATGAATAAAATTTGTTTTGTTGTTCCTATCAGAAGCATGTTGCCCCGTAAGCTGGTCAATATTTGAGCAAACATACGTTCTACTTTATATGAATTATGTTGATTCTTATTAATAATCTGAGAATTTCAAATGATGACTTGGAAGAATAATGTAAACATTTGCCTTCATTCATCTCATTAGTAGGAATCATAATTTATTCCACAAATAACTTCTTGTTCGCGTAAGGAGATTGTGAATTGTTTATTTCCACACTTGAAATGACAAACTGTTCTTATTTCGATCTCGGTTAGAAAAGTACGACCTTAGGTACCATGTGTGGATACCTGAGTCATGAACCGTTGAGACAGATGTTGATGTCTGGTTTCAAAGAATTCATGAATTTTTGCAATTATTATTTGGTAGGCTCATTAACTGATATGATTGAAACTATTACGAGCTCACCTCAGTCGATAAGCGAGAACGAGATAATGACCAAGTTATACGATAGGCTACTCTAATCCGGTGCCACGTCTAACTGAAGAAATCATTATTCCAAAAACACACAGAAAATTTAATAACCTCAAGCACACAAATCGAGTTTATTCACACATCATAAAAACGTTCTTGTAAGAGCCATAAAAATTGCGTACAAAAATAACACACCGATCAGTGACAGGCAAGAATTTTTCTTGTAAGAAATTTACTCTCAAGATTACCCTTCCAGTCCATGGAAAAAACCCTGAATTAGGACCTTTATCAACAGAGATCATGGGATCGAACATAACAACATTATTGGATTGTCTGTGGTGAGCAACTGTGTTGTCTCACTGAATTGACTGAATTTTATAGTCTATGAAAATTTCCTCAAACACACACATTTTTCTGCACATAAAATATATTTTCCAGATTGTTGGCTGTAAACTCAGGTGATACACTTTGCGGTGTTGGTGATGCTCCGGATCCAATGTTGATGTTCAGAAATGTGGTTGATTTGATAATCAGTCGCGAATTGTTGCTCGACAGAGGTGGAGTATGTGATGGAATTTCTGTTAACAAAACAAACATAGAGAAGTTTTCTTCATATTCAGACGATGATAAGGAGAAACTAGGGTTGATGACAGCAACTTCAGAAAAGCCATCAGGACCAAATATTATTTGGCTTGCGTCAACATTATTATTACCAGGTATGTAAATTATATTATTATCATCGAAACAATTCATCATGTCAAGAAACATATCCTGATCACAGTTTCGAATTTCAGTCTTCACATTCAAAGTAAAAATTCTTCTTATCACCATCAACCTCTGGAAGCTCATTCATAATCATGTTATACTTCACAACAGTATCGGTCGTAAACGTTTGAGTGTGACTCAAGATTGTATCAAGTGTTTTTATGTTTGACAAATGAAAATTGAAGTCTAGGCCTTAAACGAAATTTGATTATGTCATGATTGCTTTAACTGATATACACTAAAATGTGTCAAAATCAATGATCATCAAGACGCATTTTATAGCTGCCTGAAGATCGATTCCACTAATTCTGTATATGCCTATCAGCAAGTATCATCGTCATCATTATCGTCATAGTCAATGATCTTCATTCATTTTTGTTAGTCTTTTGTACTGAGAAGACTTGTTTCGTATTCAACGTTCCATCATGACAAAAATTAGGAAGTGTTTGACTTCTACCCTCTCGTCAGGCAATAAAGAATTACATAGAGAATTGTTTTCACTTTGCTGAACTGTCATACAGTATTTGTTTACTAATTTTCGATCATATCTGTAGGAGCACCAATTATTTATTATGGAACTGAGATTGGTATCGACGTCATAGATGCTCCTGCGACTGGAACTTATATTTATCCAAAAAGAAAGCCTTACAATAACCATAGAGGATCAACGGCTCTCTACTCTCATTTCCCAATGCCATGGGATTCAACTGGAAGGAGGTTTTCGCCAACAACAGATGATTACTACGTTAATTGAATATTTCAATGCTTATGAACAACTGTCATCCGTTGAAGTAAGTTATATATCAGTAACTTCGAGGCCTTAATCTTTAAATACTCGTTTCGATTATCTGCCAAAAGTTTCATGTATTTCAATCTTTGTCATCCAGTACAAATAGTTGACAGACTTCATTTAACATTTGTCTATCATTCGCACACGGATACTTTATTAGACATGCTATACTCTCAGGTAAATGACAAAAAGGGTGTTTTTATTTGATAAACTGTTTAGTATTTGAACCTTCATTGCGCCGTTGATTTGCTTGGCATGCAAAATTAATCAGTTTATCAATTATGTTAGCATTGGACTAAACTTCTATTCATCTTTAATGAACGAATGAAAAATGTTCTTAGTATTCAAGGTTCACTCAATATTATAATATTTTGGACGTAAAATGTACACTGTACAGCAGCCCCTCTATAGATTCGTGCATGCATACATAATTTAAACCGATTTATCTATACCCTGGGAGTTGTAAGGTCCTCCTTTAGAAGAATAATGATCTCTCATGAGGAAAGTCGAGTTCTCTCGGTAGTCACGAGTCCAATGCCTCCTTTGACACCCAGAGCAGCCATTGTCTTATGTATATGGAACGTTCGAACATTTTGGGAGACTGAAAGACTATTTCAAGTTGTGGAAGAAATGAAAAGATACAACAGCATCAGCGAAAAGCATTGGTCACAGGTAGGACAACTGAGACTGGCGTCAGGGGAACTGCTGTTATACTCTGGTCACGAAGATAAAATCGCTTCACATACACAGGAAGATGCACGGATGCTATTCAAACAATAGGCACCGATATCATGGGAATCTCATGGACACAGGACCAATAAAGCAGCCTTCAAGGAAAAGAAAGAGGACATTACAATGAACGTAATACAATGTCAGGCAAATACCAACGAGTACCATGACGAAGATAACGATCAATTCCACGAAAATCTGCAGTCAATCGTCGACAGATGCTCACCAAACGATTTGAAGATTCTAATAGTGGACCTCAATGTCACGGTTGGCATGAACATGCCATCATGGAACGTTATGGATCGGAAGCAGCAACCATTGGCCTCTCGATGGATGTTGGCCCACAAAGAATTGATGAGATCAGCATGCTCATAAGACAAATCAAGAGCGGTTAGGCTGCGGGACCAGTAAACATTCGAGCAGTTGTCACGTGCGCAGACATGTTAGAAACTGCAAACATATTTCACATTCTCTTCAACAAGATTTGGGATGAAGAACAATTACCAACAGAGTGCAAGGAAGGAAACCTGATCAACATACCAACGAACGGAGATACAGCAAGTATGAGAACTTCGTAGGCATCATAGGCATCACGTCTTCAACAGAGTAGTATCACACAAAACGGATGACTTTGAGATCAACAGGCTGGATTCCGTCATGATCGATCGTGTACTAAGCAAATTATAACATCAAGGATCATTGTGGAGAAATCAATCACATGAAAACTCATCACATCAGATTCATTGAGAAAATTTAAGCATTTGATAGCATGGAAAGGACAACATTATGGAGGAGTCTTCGAAGCCATGGCGTATCAACATAATATGGAATTCTTATGATGGAATAAACTGCAAAATTGTTCATGCAGAACAGCTGATAATGGTAATGAAGGGCTGCATTTATGAAATTGAACAACATATGGAACTCCAAACAAATATCAGTCAAAGCCCAAATCAGAATTTTCAATACAAATGTCAAGACATTTCCCCTGTATTCATCAACAGTTGTTCGAGCGATATACTCAAACACAATCAACAGCAACCTGCTGTGAGATAGAACAGACTAGATTCCAGTGGAGGAGAAAATCAGGAGGCGATGGAAGTTGATAGGACACACACCACATAAGCACTCAACAGTGTCACAAGAAGAGTTCTCCCTTGAAACCCTTAAAATAAAAGGAAAAGAGGAAGGTAACGAAACATATTATATCGAGAAATAGAGAAAGGTATAGGAAGAACAAATGACATTTAGACAGAAATGGGAAAGAAAGCTCAGGACATTGTAGAGTGAAGGATACTGTTGTGTGGCCACTGCTTCATTTTAGGTAACAGGCGTAAGGAAGAAATTTATACATTGTACAATTTAGAAGGTTCCCAGATTCATATACTTTGATGAATTTTAAAATACATGTTCGATAAAATGAACTGGATACAACGCACTGAAAATTTCCAGGAAATGACATTTGAATCTGAAGTTCCATGTACACACCCATTGGAAAGAGCATGCCATATCAAAGTATTCAATATGGCCTACAAAAGTGGTTGAGTTGTGTAGTTCAGCAGTTAGAAGAACATGTTTACAAATCATATTGAATATCACATTTCTATCTTTTTGAAGACTCAACTTGCTGAAAGAAACGATCAATCCACTCTTCGTCTTGTTATGAAATTGGTGGCTCTACGTCAGAAACCTAGTATGGAAAGGGGAACAATGGAGCGGATAAACCTTCCCAAAGTGAGTAGTTTAAAAGTTCACAGATCAAAACAATTTCTCTTTCTAAACAATTTTATCAATCAAATACTTTCTGCTGATGTTTATATCCAAAATATAAAATCGTGTAATTCATTAATAATCTGTATGATCGACTTCCTGAACAAATAGCCATTTTCTGTTCCATCATTTTGTTTCCGCATAACGAATGTTCGCCCCTACGCATTCGTTGAGCACGTATGTATTCAATCACCTCTGGTGGTCAAATGGTGAACAAATTAGAAGATGTCACTTTCAATTATTCATTCATCATTCACCATTACTTTTCAAACTGAGCACATGATGTAACAAAATCTGCGTTTGTACACTTTACGACATATGAATAATAGACTTGTATTCATCGTACGTCATCACTGCATCAACATAGTCAATGCGTTGAGCCTGGAAGTCACTTGCAACACAGTTTGTTTATAATAAGAGGGCGATACAAACCTCATGGTTAGTTAATTAGTTTATACTGTTTATTGGATTGATGAAGAGTCTCTGAATGTAGAACACCTCATTTTCATGAAGATCAAACATCTATAAGTATCTGTAAACAATTTTAAAGCAAAACGTGAAGTTGAATGAAGTACGCGCAAAATCTGTTCGGCAGTCTAATAAATACACTGTTTCGTTGATTCCATTTCAGGGAACTGCGAAACTGATTGAAGCATTTTTGCGAAAGGTGGAAGGATTTCCATCATTCTTCGTGGTGTTGTTAGAGGAATTAAGAGGCAGTTATTCCTTGGATCTAACTACTGTTTGTTCATCGGCTACGCCGAAAATAATTTATCCTTTAAATGCACTACTGTCAGTCGACAATCCCTTATCAACTTCAAAATAAACATTACAGACCAAACCGATTCAAATCACATTTACGTATTTGAATGCAAATGAATAAATCACCAATCTTCAAACTTTCATCAATAAAGATTTGATCTTGATTTCAGTGTGACCACTATTTTTCATTTGCACTTCTATCGGCATTTGTATTTCTCTTTCTATATTTATGTTGTTAGTTGACTGATTTTCATTTAAAATTGTTTGCAGTGTGTAATCAGTTTATTGTTATGCTTAAATATAATCAATCTCTTCATCCGTATATTTGCTATTTGAAAGTGAGAGAGCAGTGTTTGTTGGATAGCGAAATGTTTAAATCCATGTGTGTTGATATGTGTATTCTGACATGCACGATGCTAAAATATTAGCCTACAAATATACTCTACTCCTAATAGTCAAGTAGGAATGATCAAATTGCTGCTGTACAGTGAACTCGTCCTTCGGTTAGCAAACGGATATCTCGAATAATCCATAAGTGACGCAAGTTGGTAAACACCAGTCGACTTTTATGCATCCGTGTTGTGATTTCCTCACACAGCAGGCCATAAATACTGATGGTAATCCTGGGATAAGTGATGTGGTCAACACGCTCAACCGTGTCACTTCATATTACTACTTCATGTGCCGACGGAAGCCAAGATTTTAGAAATATCTTGCAATTGGCCGGAAGAAAGTGGCGTCTTGAAATAGCTCGTTTTGTTGCTTAGAGTGATCGGTGTCTTCATCAAATAGAACTATGTCATAAGCATATTCTAGGTCGACAAGCGTGTCTCATAAAACATGGTGGGTAAATTAACGAATGGTAAATCCGGAAAAGTGCAAATCAGAGTTCCATTCAGACCACATTCTATTTATTTGTTTCAAGTTAGCAGCCGATCTCAGGAGATCAAAATAAATGCGCAAAAAAGATTTATCGTTCATTGGTTTATTCAATTTCAATAAGTTGTCTTTGATATTATTCAATATTGTTAGTAGAGGAACATGGTATTCGACGTTGAGGATAATTCCAGACATCTGTCATACACATTATCCGATCCGGTAGTAATGTCCTCAGGTTCACTAGGATATTCATGAAAGGCCTACGGCAATCGGTTCCTATTTATTGGTATATCTGTGCAATTGAGTGATTCAACAAGCGGCGACAGTACATGTGTGAAAACGATGAACATCGTCAGTGAGAAGAAAGCTGAAACACGAGAAACCTGAAGCGCCCGCATCTGTGTGCACACCTATCGCTTAGATCATGCTTTAAAGTTAATTATTTTCACTTCTGTTGGATAGATGGAGCAACTTATTGAATAGCGATACTCAGTACACGCACTTCTTCAGTTTTTCTTGTTCTGAATTGGAAGAAGCAGTCTCACAGCAGTAACTAGGTTAATTAATATTAGTGAATTCCTAATGACTAATCATATCCTCGTTTTTGTTTATTTACTACCGAAAATATTCTCACTTCATTTCCTCTTTGTAATCTTGCACGATCAATACATTTATTAGATTATAAAAATATGAACGTGGGTGCAGAGTTATGTAAACCGTTCTTATGTAAACTGTGATTGAATAAAGATTACCATGACGCAATCCCTGATTGACGAGGATCAAGACATCATAATACGATGTGTCGGATCAGTGCTGTTAGAATATGGGATACTACTATTTGGCTGTGATCACTTCCAGTTGATGAAATTCGTTATGCTGCCCAAATATATCACATGTAATTCATGTTCGTTTTGACTTCCTTCACTTCTGATTGTCCACAGAAATCGAACAGATGCTAGAATTATCCAAGGCAAACATTTATTCAGGTTATTCAAACGCGTTATAAATACAAGCAGTAATTCTCTCATCGGGTTGAAGTATTACATATCTGACTGCAACTCAGTGGGTACCGTGGTTAATAGTCTTCAATTTCTACAAATCTATAAATCTAGTTGAAATCCATTATCCTCATTATTTATATACACATACTCTCACATCAACACATTTGCACAACTCAATTAAAACACATTATTAGAGAAAACAATTAGATAAATAAATCTCAATAACACCGACAAAAGCAACAGACAAAGAAAAATAAAAACATATGCAGACAGTGCAAGAAATTGGAATATCTTGACTAATCAGAAAAACTAATGGTTTCAGGAATTCATTTTGACGTCATCCTAAAGATATGTAACATAGACAAAATCACTCAGAATTGCATATTCGTTCGACCCAAATAGTTGTTTCTGAACACCTCAGTTGAAAAATAATTGTATCGTATTTTTTTCTAAATCAGAAACTTCGACAAACATGTCGTAACAGTTCTACTGGACGTGGAGGAAACTTGGAAGACAATTAAGGGTAACATCTAGAAGACAGAAGTGTCTATTAGGAGTTGTTTACGCAAAATACTTCATACCCACTGATCAGACAACTTAGGCGAAAAACTACAGATTGGAAATGAGCACTTTAATTCAATAGGAAACCCATTCAGCAATGCACCCAACTAACTGTAGAAAATGTTAGATGTGCAGAACTTGCATGATAAATATCCTCGTCTTCGATTTAGCTCATGGATCGATCAGTTGACCTTGAGATCACATTTCCTACCTGCAAATTCCTTGGCTGTGATTGGTCACTGTGTCATTTTAGTGTGCTATTTTCGTGACTGTCACAAGCACGTCTCATACGGTATAAATTAACGCGATTCGAGTGCTTTGATTCATTGTATGCTGGCCAGGTGAATACAATTTCTACGCCATACCAAGGCTTCTTGCTGGTACAATTAGGACAATCGGATCACAGTAGCCTACCTGGACGCTGGTTTATATTTTTTGCTCTCGTTATTCGACTAAGGTGAACTCGTAAATGTTTAAGCATACCTAGCACAAGATAGGGCCTTAATCGGCATCCTCAAAGTCGAAGCAGAATTATAAGACGAGAAAACACAGTACACTGAGAATCGGAAGCAGATATGTGAAAAATGGACAACAGTTGGACAGAATTAAAATGCACGGCTCAGGACAGATTAGGTTGAACAATCTTGGTCGACAGCCTATTGTCCATTGAATGTAACAATTATTAGTATGTACGATACTTCAACATCGTCAACTTCATGTAGAATATATGAGTCATCAAAGCGAAGTATATCAAATTAAATTTTAGTTAATTTCGTGTCTAAATCACGTAATAAAACACGAAGAAAACCTAACTTATAAACTATCTTTTTTAATTTCGTGATAATATTCACAACAATTTTTTGGAAAAATACTTGAATCGATCTTCTGAAAATCCGATCACTATAATCTAGAAAAATAATCAGAATTTGTAGAGATAACTTTCATGATTCTATCTATCAATCCATCTGCTCATTCATAGATTTATTGAATAGATGCTAAACGATATTTTACAGCTTCTTCACGAATATTCTCTGACTCAATTATTCCTCGACCGACGATCATTATCATCGAGCATGATGGTGATGATGTTGATGAAGTGGTCGTTGTAAATCGTTTCTTCACCTGTTCTGGTGTATTGAAATTTTGACCTAAATCATCAGTGGAATTCACAAGTTTTATACCTGTTCAAAAGAGAAATTAGAATAAATGACTTTTGTAGACGGTGTTTGTCATCGAAGTATCATTATGAAACAGATAAGAAATAGAGTGAAGTTTTCTTTTCGAGTGTGAACTGATGATCAGTGACATCTGTCGTTGTGCAGAGTGAAATGGTCATCATCCATATGACACTAAATGATCTCAACATGACATATTGAGAAGTGATTGTAGTCTGAAATGTTGATAATCAGATTTCAGCTAAGTGGTATAAAGGTTGAGTGTTTGATCGTGATTTGGCGATTCCATATGTATGTGCAAACAATGCTTAAGTCAGGACGGAGTAGGTTGGAAATCCTCGTAGGAGGCCTCTGCACCACTGTGATAAAGGCGTGTGTATGTATGACTCGAAGATTTTCATGCATATATATATATATATATATATATATATATATATAAACCTAAGACCTTAGGTTTTGTACGCAGACGCTTATCCTCTAGACCAGTGCACCCGTATATAACGGCGTTAATATCTAACTTCAACCGCTTCATGTATCAAGTTGATCATTTATGCGTAAAACAGTGTGTACTCAGTAGGAAATTACATCATATTACTGTCATTATTACATGACAATAAATTGAATATAGGTATCGTGTAAAAAAAAAACACCACAAAACGCATTACCTGGTGCCCAGTAAGAAATATTTGAAGAACACATATTTAATCCTGGAATAGGATGTTGAGCTACAATACCACCAATAGTGTCTGTATTCGATAAAATCAAATAACTGCATTGCTCTTGATATAAATCAGTTGGTAAAGCCCCCTTGTAGATATACATATATATATACACATTAGGAAAAAAAACTTTCTTGAAGGGCTTAGGAATATCAATGGATTATAGTACACAGAAGTAATGAATTACACATTCCTAAACAAATTAACAATAACGAAAGGTAATGGTAAGTAGTAGTTGAAGTTTTAGTTCTTTAGTCCAACCGTAGCTGCTACCTTGACGTGGTGGTCGGACTTGCCTATCGTGATGACCCAACCGTGCTATATTTTCTGGAACCTATGTTCCTGAAGGTCCTACCATGCCAGGTAGGTCAATTCGTGAACGATGAGACTAAAATCAGCTACTCAAAGTCTGAGAGCGAAATCATAATGCTGATTGAAGAGGGGTGTGTACTGTACATTAGTGAGCTTCGTCCTACTTTATGGCTGTAAAACATGGCCAGTCAGAGTACAAGATATTCATAGGTTACTGGTTTTCGATCATAGGTGTCTTCGAAGCACTGCTCATAAATCCTAGGACAACCGAGTAAGCAATGCTGTCGTTTGGAAAGGAGTACAAGTTGAGGATGGTAGATCAATAGATGAAGTAGTTGTCGGGATATGTGTTACGAATATTAAAACACCGACTGCCACGTCGAGCTATATTTTGTGGTGTAAGAATATGTTGGAAGAAAACTACGAGCGCCCAGAACGAAACATAGCAGAAATGCTAGAAGTCACTGTTAAGTGGTCTGACTCATGTCTGTAGGTGTCCACCACCTGGTTGGGGTTCGCCAGATGATAATAATCTATGTTTAGAGATCTTGAATGACATGGCTCACAACCGTTTGCAATGGTGCAGGTGCATTCATTCTTTGTGTTCTCTCAAATCCTAGTCCTCTGGTTTCTTCAACACACCTAGTTTCGTCTTTTTAAATTTATCTCACTACATCAAACTTCTTGAATAATATCTTCTAATCCTAACCTCTTCGATTACTTCTAATAACTTTACTAGCCCTACCACAATTGGATTTGAATAGACAGTTGCGTCTCTGTGCTGATGTGGTATAGCAACATGAACTGGTGTACGCACGCACGCTGCTATTGCACATTAGCACAGACAGGTGGCATTGTCTATTCGAATCCCAATTTGATGAAGGTTGTAGAGGTATAAGCATTAATCGGAGTGATTGCGGTTCGAAGATTTCATTCAAGAAGTATAGTCCAGTGAAACAAACTTAAGAAAGAAAGATAAGGATATTGAGGAATCCATAAGATTAGGATTTGATAGAAGACACGGAACAGACGCATCTAAGCCATTGCAAAGTTTCTAACCATTGGTTATTGACCCTAACATGTCAGGCAAACAACCAACGCTTACTAACATTGCTCAGTCCAGTTGTCAGTGACGGCATAGATTTCTGCCACGTGTCGATTTGATCGCTTCTAGCTTTGTTCCAGCCTACTGATGCAGAAGACAACAGTGATGGGTTTGGAACACCTAGTACCTGTCTTAACCATTACAAATGATGGAGATTTACTACTTCGATTGATTTCCTATTCCAGCCTAGTACTCTTTTCCTATCAACCGCATTGCTTACTCGCTTATCCCAGGAGATACGAGTACTGCTCCAAAGACATCGATGATCGAATACTAATATTATTCAATCACCTCTACTACTATGGGATTTGAACTGAGAATTACATCTCCGTGCCATCATGGTATGGAAACATGATCTGATGTACGCACGTACATACGTACAAGGTTCTACGTTGCGAATGATTGATGAGCCTCGTATGATGAATTCAAACGATCCCTTACGCGTGTCTCTGAGACGCAGGCGACAAAGCAGGTTTATTCAGCTGGATCTGGCACCCCGAGCCACCCAGCAGTGCACTAACCAACAGCCATTCCAACCGTCTGGCCTCCAACTGCCTTGCGCTGATAGACTCGATCGGAGCCCCCAAATTCCAAATAATTCTATAGTCCAGGATCTTTGCGGTTGCTTCCCCAAACAAATCTGGAAAGTTTAATCCTTTTCAAGGTTTTCGTTACTTCGGAATAATAGAGGACAACTCCTCAAATCATTATTCAGAATTTACTACGATCGATGGACGGGATTCAGACTTAGAGACATTAAGTTCTTATCCCACAGTGTGGCTAACCGCATCCACAGCCTTACAACCATGGACACGTACCATTATTCTAGACCATGCTAGGCACGGTATCCTAAGCGTTCGGAACGGCTTTTAGCCGCAGCGCTGTAAACAGCGCAACGTTTCCTGGCAGAACCAAAAAGAGGTAGCCGCTACCACAACCGTCCGAAGCTCCATTTATGCGCGTCACCTAATATACCCATTCAATTAGATGACGAGGCATTTGGCTACCTTAAGAGCGTCAGAGTTACTCCCGCATATATCAATGACACGGGATTCTAAAGTCCTTGTAAAGAAAGACTATATTGAGGTGGTGTTTCGTTCTCTGAGATGGTTGTGTTTGGTTGTGGAGCTTTGATTGTTCTTCTGAACAACAGCATCAGCACAAACTTCAGATATAAGTGAAGCATTCTAATTTCTCCACGTTTGACCTGTAGCTTGTTCTGCTAACCTCGATCTTGATTGGTTGCTGTTGACCTTTGATCCAGGATCAAGAAACAGATCAAAAGGGGAATGCAATGAGAACAAAGTTGCAATTAACGTCAGGTCAAAAGTGAACAGCAAACAATCAAGATCGAGGTTGGTAGTATGAGCTACAGGTCAGAAGTGGAGAAATTAGAATGCTTCAATTCTATCTGAAGTTTGTGCTGATGATGTTGTTCAGAAGAACAATGAAAGCTCCACAACCAAAACAACAAGCTCAGAGAACGAAACACCACCAAAATCATCCACCTGAGCTACAAGTTTCCTCCACCATCTCAGAAAGACTAAATCCCTATTCGGCACAAGGTTCGGACATTAAAAGCTTCAGCATACAGTTTAGAGAGTGGTTTCTGTAGACGATAAATAACGTTTCGTGAACTCCAAGCGTTTGCATAAGCGGCGTGCGGTGACAAAGGAACGAAAGAAAGCTCGGTCGTAGAGATGAAAGAGTTATTAGGAAGTGTAGAAAGGATTTAACTGTGACCAGTTTGGTCTCATGTGCGGTTACGAGTATGAGAGCGGATGTCTGTTCCCGGGTTTCCACACGATGAAAGGGTGTATCTTGTGTAACGTGAAAAGAAATATGATATGTGGTGGTCTTAAATACCTGAGAACGAGACCGCAGATTTCAAAAAACTAACGATTGAGGCTCCGCTTTTATAATGACCATACCGTCGGAAAGAGATATCTGTTAGGTAGAGTGAGTAGTGATTTAATTAGGGTCAACATTTTCTAACCCTTCCATCGTTTTGAGAAGGAAGCATCGCTGCAGATGCTGGTTGTCCAAGGGAAACGCCTTATTGTTGTCACCTCCCTCCACAGTTAGCAGTACGGCTTCGACCTCAGGCCTTCAGTCACTATTGTCATTCTTGTCATTCTCGAATCAACTTGCCTCGAATGATAGAACATACGAGAACATATGCTCTAGCTAATATAGTTCAGTTGGATAATCACGATAGTCAAGCCCGGCCATCACGTCAAGGTAGCTGCTATATTCGAGCATTGCTCTATCTACTTCAGTTTAGTCAACTCAGTAGTATCATTAGCCATCAAACTTAGATTATATTTCAAAGCCAGGTACCATTTGAATATTATTATTACTATTATTATTACTAGAAACATACTTACTTGACAACTCATTTCAGTCACTACTAACGCTGTGACTTGATGTTGTCTTTCATTTTCTAGTAATTTTTTATTAACTTTACGAAAAGCATCGAATAAACCAGGACCAGGTAAACAGTGTACTGTTATCATATCACACCATTCAGCAATTCTATAAACACCATACAATAATTGATTATACACTGTTTGTCCAATATCAGCTACTTTCCTTCAGAAAAAAAATACACAATGATAAAAAGAAAACAATGTTCCTGGTTTATTGAAAACCTGAAAAAATACGCGTGCCCCAAATGGGAGCATTCGTAAAGTAATAGTATACTCTGCCCACCAAGGCGCTTAACCATAATAGATCTGTGTTAACATCTCTGACTCTGATAATAATCAAAGCTGGTGTTGATAACACATACGCGTATTACATTCCTTATGATTGAAAATGTATATCAGACTGAAATCAGAGGTTTTCCGACAAATACGCTTGACTAATTAACATTAAAAAGGCGCACTAGAATCAATGGTCAGCAAGTTTCTTACTGATATATAGAACGTTTACGGTATACTGAACTAAACAGTTCATCAATGGTCTCAATATAAATATTGACGAGCGTGAAAATTTCAGTTCTATAGGAGGTCGGTGAACAGAACAACGGTAACAATACTAAGTGTGTTAGCACATGATTTGACCTAGTTCCCATAGAGAGTGCATGATTGTAGATACAATCTACTGATGAATACTAACCAGTGCAAAGTCAATAAGTCACGGAAGTCTTCATCAAATTCATCTAATCAACTGATTACTTGCCTACACATGTTACTTCTAATGAAGTATAGGCTGACATAAGAGAATTATTATTCTGGTCAGCGTCTCTTTGGCGAGTTGGAATTATACGAGATGGGGTCGCTAACCACATGCACAACCGTTCTCCTTCATGCGGGCTTGGGACCAGCACTGACGCCACAAGGCCTCCACGCAGTTACATAAAACAATGAAACAATTTTGTCGACCAGTATATATAACAAAAGACTATTACTAAACTAAACAAGTTTCTTCAAACATTCTTTCATTATCAGAAGAAACCAGTTCAAAAACTGACTGCAAATCATTGAAAACATTCACAACGAAAATAAGAAAATCAAATTTTCAATATAAATAAATCATATTTCCCATTATCGAGTTATGAAGATTGTTGTTTATCGTTGAAATCATGAATCCATGAATCAGTTTTAGACCACCATTAGAGGTTAAGCGTTCACACACAAGACCGTAGATCATACGATCCGATTGCGGCTGGCGTAGTGGATGTGCACTGATGGCATGAGTCCCGTGATAGGACTTCATTCGTGGTTTCAATAATAAACTATCAATAAATACAAACTGTAAAATAATATTAATGGTAATAATTATAATAATATAAAATATATTTCAAAAAAATTTCTGAAACAACTATGTTTCATCCTCGTAACATTTGTCTATCACTTACCTATCTTCAATAATTAAAAAACCATATTTCATTGATAATTCACATAAACCTTGAATAATCATTTCGGGATTTTGATTAGACAATAAAATATCTAAATGTAATTTGATAGCACAAATTTCCAATCCAATTTCATTGGTTAATTGTAATAATTTGATTGGATCTAAAATATCCAGAGCTATGCATAAACGCGATTGTTTCGATTGAATAATTTGATTTAATCGATCCAATTGAGAACAGGAAAATTTCAATTCCGATGAGATCTAATCAACGAAATAATAACGATGTAAATGAAATCATGTGATATTAACAAGCTGATGGTAAAAACACAATCAGGAAGGTTATTACTGTTCGATATTTTACACGGGTGTAGAAGGCTTGACTAGCTTTCACCAAGGAGTGTTACCTATGAAGTAGGCAGATGTGAAACACACGGCCCGTTTTATTAGAGGATATTTGTAGGTTATTAGTATTCGATCATCGATGTCTTTGGAGCAGTACTCGTATCTCCTGGGATAAGCGAGTAAGCAATGCGGTTGATAGGAAAAGAGTACTAGGCTGGAATAGGAAATCAATCGAAGTAGTAAATCTCCATCATTTGTAATGGTTAAGACAGGTACTAGGTGTTCCAAACCCATCACTGTTGTCGTCTGCATCAGTAGGCTGGAACAAAGCTAGAAGCGACCAAATCGACACGTGGCAGAAATCTATGCAGTCACTGACAACTGGACTGAGCAATGTTAGTAAGCGTTGGTTGTTTGCCTGACATGTTAGGGTCAATAACCAATGGTTAGAAACTTTGCAATGGCTTAGGTGCGTCTGTTCCGTGTCTTCTATCAAATCCTAATCTTATGGATTCCTCAATATCCTTATCTTTCTCTCTTAAGTTTGTTTCACTGGACTATACTTCTTGAATGAAATCTTCGAACCGCAATCACTCCGATTAATGCTTATACCTCTACAACCTTCATCAAATTGGGATTCGAATAGACAATGCCACCTGTCTGTGCTAATGTGCAATAGCAGCGTGCGTGCGTACACCAGTTCATGTTGCTATACCACATCAGCACAGAGACGCAACTGTCTATTCAAATCCAATAGTGGTAGAGCTAGTAAAGTTATTAGAAGTAATCGAAGAGGTTAGGATTAGAAGATATTATTCAAGAAGTTTGATTCAGTGAGATAAGTTTAGAAAGACGAAACTAGATGTGTTGAAGAAGCCAGAGGACTAGGATTTGAGAGAACACAAAGAATGAATGCACCTGCACCATTGCAAACGGTTGTGAGCCATGTCATTCAAGATCTCTAAACATCGATTATTATCATCTGGCGAACCCCAACCAGGTGGTGGACACCTACAGACATGAGTCAGACCACTTAACAGTGTCTTCATGCATTTGCGCTATGTTTTGGTCTGTCTGCCACTAACTTTCGTCCAACCTATTCTTACACTACAAAGCAAAGCTCGTTGGTTAGGCATACGCAGCACATGTGCCGACCACCTCAACTGATGAAGTTTCATTACTTCATCTATTGATCTGCCATCCTTACCCAGTCCCCTTTTTTTAATAACAGCGTTGCTCACTTGGTTCTCTCAGAATATACGAGCAATGCTTCGAAGATACCTATGGTCGAAAACCAGTCATATACGAATATCTTCTACTCTCACTGGCCATGTTTCACAGCTATAGAATAGGACCAATTGAACTACTGCGCAGTACACTCGCCCTTTGGTTAGTAAGCGCATATCTCGCCTACGCCATAGGTGACGCAGGTTGGCAAAAGCCAATAGAGCCTGTCTGGCATGGTAGAACCTTCAGGAACATATGTTTCAGCCAATATAACTCGGTTGAGTCATCACAATAGGCAAGCCCGACCACCATGTCAGGGTAGCAGTTACAGTCGGGTATTCTTACATTGACCACTATTCGATTACTTATTTTTAACTTCTAACAGAAAATGTTTTATCTTTTTTTAACAAAATAGTAAGAATATTTTTTGTTCCAGTATAGAAAAATGATTCATTATTACCTTAGGTGCTGGTGAATTATGAATAAATAAAATAGTTTCATCAAATTGTTCTTTACTAATACAATTTTCTTCATGTAAAATATTCAACAATTCAGTTAGCGTGAATAAACTACAATAGAAGAAAAATGCATACACATACATACAATGAATGCATATACACTGCGGAATAAGCTTTTACAATGAAAATGCATGCAAATGAGTAACATAAGCAGCCATTCAAACAAATATGCATGCAACACGGTCAACCTATTTGTACATAATAAATAGAACTTCTGATAAGTTTCAATGTCAGTCAGTCAGCTACCAATCAAGTTGTCATAACACATTAGCACAGAGATGTCATTTTCACTGTGATAAATAGTAGCTTACTTTGTGACTAGTTGTTTCAGGAGGAAATTCTCAAAGTTCTAGTGAGAAGTAGTGACCAGTAGAGTTTAACCGTGATCGGTGTGCGACAGTAACCCATCAAACACGACGGGTGAGTTTGTGAAGAAGCCTTAGATTGATTAAAGTTAGGCCTTAATACCGTTGGAAGACGGTTCAATGGTCTAGAACTATAATCAAGCAATGAATATGATGTTTCTACACTCAGCATAAAACAGAGCGAATGGAATTGTGATACATACTACTTGCAACGTGGTTTATAGGTAGTGTGAAAGGGGATGCCAGCCAGAAGTTGCTCCTTAAGACAAGGATATCAGATCGGTTCATTAGTTAAAAGAAATTCAACAATCTCTACAACACCTTACTAATGACTCTAGGTTTGTTTACTTAGAATCAATCTATAGTTTGTGTACCTCAGATATGAGCGTGGTTTATACTACTCACGACGTAGCTTATAAGTAGTAAGCAGTGAATAGTTAGGAAAGTGTCGCCCAGAAGTTAATGCTGAAAATAGGAATTGTCGAATCCGAAAAAAGAGTGCGATCGGAGTGGTTTCAAGACCAGATGACTTGTAAGGGAAGACAGTTATTAATCCGCTTATTTTACAGATGAGTTATATTGATTTCTTATGTAACGTTATAAATCTCCACTTTATCGGCAGATAGTTTCGCTTTCCATAGTTGGTGAATCTGAAACTTGCGAGATTACTTGCTTACTTACTTACTCCTGTTACCCGCAATGAATCATAGGCCACCGACCGGCATTCTTCAACCTTCTCCATCCTGAAACTTCCTTCCCAGTTCTACCAGATTGCAACACATTATCCTCATATCTATTTTTAATTCTCGCAGCGGTGTGTTCCTTCACCTAGCTCTTTGCCTTTGATCTTGAGGTGTGCTTGCTGAGTTGTCGACTCACCTATTCTTCCGTTCTCGGCTGTTTCCAATTCTTCCAACTCACACTACTCTGAATGCAACCCTACCAGTACACAACGTACTTCCTTCTGGCTAAACTCAAACAGCCACAATAATGTTTACAACCTGTATTTAACTTATAAAATGCAAAACAAAATCTCAGCTGATTATTTGAATACCTGAATAAAAGATATGAACTAAACAAATTCATCAACATGGATTGATGAGCACATTTAGCAATTCAATGCCTTAAAAACCAACCACATGATAAGCACTAATCAACCTACTACATGCAATAATATAGTTGGTGCTTTTGACTGACGTAAATAACAGTTTACAGTTTGCACTAAAAATGCGCACTTGCATAATCATAGTTAAATACATATATATCTCATCGGTTTCACCTGGTAATTTTAATATTTTGATCTTGTAAATAACTAGGTCCTCCTTGTTCACGATCTATCATGACAAATGCATGTTCAATGCATAAACCAGACTGTCGAAGAAGCTGTAAATTGTAAAATGAATGAAATGATCAGTTGTATATTTACCATGATAATCGAACAGAATATTAACAAACAAAAACGCAACAAGCCAATTCGAGCGCTTCATTTAACATTTTCTACTTTGATTATTGTGAAGCGGTCTGTGCGCATGTCATGCTCTGAGCACTGTATAAACGCCAACGTAAACTGTCATTCTACAAGCTTTAAACGATTATTAGTTGAAAGAGTTCGATAACACGATCGACTATTTTTATTTATATTTTCAATGATTGTTTCGACCAATATATCTACATTTTGATTAATAAAGTCAAGTGTGACAACAACCCTCGATTTTTAGTAACCATTGTCAGGACGAACAGTATACGATTGATTTATTCATGTACTATGCATTGTACAGAAACATGTATACAGATAACGAGTCAAGTTTCCCACAAAAGTCGTCTGCGTGGTCCATTCATCGTTTGAATCCTCCTTTTACGGTCACCAACACACAACTTTGGTACATTCGACTAGAAAATTATTTTTCGGCGAACCATATTCATTCACAACCAGATAAATGCGCTTACGCAACCTTATTGCTTCTGGATGAAATGGTAGATGACATTCGAGAGATTCTGGTTAAACCGGATGCACAAATACCGTATGAAATATTAAGACAAGCTGTAATGAAAGCCGTCCCGTTAACCAATCAACAAGCCCTTCATCAGCCTCTCAACAAAGTGCGAATAAGTGATAAAATTAGCGTAACGAGAATTCGAAAAATTGATGAAACTTGGTATTATAAGGCTGTCTAGCAGTCACTGCACATGGTGCAGAAAATGAATGGAGAATTCAGACCGTGTGGAGACTATAGAGTCTTTGAGCATCGCTTCCTGCCAATGCAAATATTCATTTCATAAGCTTCAAACGATTAATTGTTGAAATAATTAGAGAAAAGTATCGATTATTTTATTTGTATTTGTAATAAATTCAATGATCGTATCGACCAATATACATATTTTGAATAATAAAGTGAAATGTGACGACTCTCGTTTTATAACACCGGCTGTTGGGACGGTGGTATACGAAATCTAGGAGTACACTGAATATCCACAGCCATATAACAACTTAACATGAGTCGATTGATAAACATCGGTTTTCAAACGGTAGTCGAAGTCATAAACCACACACAAGTTAAGATAGCTCTATTGTATGGAGAACCACAAAAGCCATCACCTAAATGATACAATTGTTTATTAACGGTTGTCTACGCAACATACTTCAGATCCGCTGGTCAGACACCATGGGAAACAACCTAAAGTGGGAGAGAACATATCTGATTCCAGATAAGGAAGTAATTAGGATTAAAACGCTGGAAACAGGTGGGACTTGTATTGCGGAAAGTACTCAAACGCGTTAGACCGCAAGCCACAACTTGGCATTCTCAAAGTTAATGGTAAAGAGGTAGGCTGGAAAGCAGACTGAAACAATAATCGGAAGCAGACATGAAAAGAACGAATAGCGATTGAGTGGAACTGGAAAGGAAAGACTGGAGATAGAGTAGTCTGGAGGATGCTAGTCACGAGTAACAGGCATAAGTAAGTAAGTAAGTAAGTAAGTATTATATATGTTGGTGCCGCTTTGTGACAATGTTTTGCGTGTTTAAATAAGTAACAATAAACAAATACCGATACAGATCATCAGTCAATTAGAATTATCCTCTTACCTGAACCACAGAAGAAATACTACTACCAGAAGTGATAACATCTTCAATGATGACACAATTTTGTCCATGCTTCCATACACCTTCAATCATTTGTTTAGTACCATAAGATTTTGCTTCTTTTCGACACATCACCAGTGGAATATTTTTACGAACAGAAATACACTTTGCAAAAAAAATCGAAAACGAAAAAAAAGAAACAGAACAAACATGACAAATTCATATGATACAAAAACATAATTTCTGTCGTATTCCATTGAATTAATCTAGACTTACCCGCCAATTGGTCCTCGTTAAAGGATTTAAATTGTACTCATTCGAATTGCGGAGCCTCAATTGAGTCCCTAATCCGTATTTTTCGTCACTACCTCCCCGTGCCAGGAGTGAGTAATTTTCGTGCCTGCTGCCGTCCTTGGATGTGATAGCCATTTCTCAGGCTCCCTCTCAGGAATCGAACCCTGATTCCCCGTACCAACCCAGATCGTCAGTTGGCATCGTTTATGGTCAGAACCACGACGGTATCTGATCGTGTTCGATACTCTGAATTTCACTCCCGATCAATAAAAACATTCTTGACAAATGCTTTCGCCGTAGTTTGTCTGGCGGCGATCCCACCGCCATACAAATGCCCCCGTCTGCCCTCTTAACCATTACTTCGGATCCGAAAACCAACAAAATAGAACCGAAGTCCTATTTCATTATTCCATGCAAGGATTTTCAGGCGCATAGGCCCGCTTTGAGCACTCAACTTTGTTCAAAGTGAAGATGCTGTCCGCTCCTGACACCTGGTTAAAGTCATCCTGAAGCATGCCAACAGGACAACAAGAAAGGCTCATCATCCCATCAACACCCGTAATCACAGACACGGCTGAAAGGCTACACAGTTACCACACCGAGCCGAACACAGGTCTTGATCGTAACCGAAACCGCGAACAAGCCGCGGCACGAATCAAATCAACCAACTAATTCGCACTTATGACTTGCTTCAATGGTATCGGTGTAGTTATAAATACTACATTGGATCGATAAAATGAAATAGAACTTCTTACGTACGTAGATTTAGTTCACAACCTGTCCATACAAAAATTAGTATAAACAGATTGAATTATCGATTCAAATTGCATAGTAGTAGTATAAATGGAATTTTCTACCCCAGCAATTCACTCCATTTCCAATAGGTGCAGGTTGGTACGCGATGTCCCAGATCCAATACCAAAACACAATAATTCTGGGAGAAAACGGTCTTTATTCAATATAAAATGGAAATACAGACAATTACCCAACAATATTACACCTTCTAAATCCAGTTTACCGCAGTGGGTATCCGTTTCTGGAAGAATAAGTGCTTCCAGTCCTTACTGCTACGGTATCAAATCCAAATATGGCTGTAGCCATATTAAATATCAAATTTAAACAACATATGAACAGTTCAGAAGCAAACATAAAAACTTCAATATAAGTACAAGATATAATAATAATAACAACAATATACAATGATAAAATCTCAAAATGGAATCAAATAGAGTGGCAAAATGTCAACAGAAACAGTCAGTCATATCATAACACAAATATATATACATGGAGGGATTTTCCAAAATACAAAACAATCAAAAAGATTCTACACCGGCCCGCAAAATCCCTCCATGCAAAACAAGCCCTTTCTGTCACTTCAGTTTAAGGTTCACTCTCATCCCCTAATCCACAACGGAAGAACGAGTAGGACTTACAGCAGTACGCCTACACGCCCTCCAACATGGATATGACCTATCAAGCTAACTAGGTACCTGTACGTTCCCATCAGGCCCTTGATCCCCCTATCTATCGTAGCATGACCTAACGGTAGTATAAACCTTATCCACTTAACCCACATGAACATGTACAACACGTCGTAAAGCTGGTCATATCTTATCCGGGAATTACATTCCATATCATGGGGATGAGTCGTCAATCCACCACCACTTGCTCCGATCGGCAGATACAATGAAGTCCGTGATGCTGACTTATCAACAGAAGTTCTTGACCCACAGATAATATGCAGGGGTGGGATCTCCAGTTTTGACATCTCCTTGTCTCCTGAAGACTCTAAGTGGCATAACATATGAACAATATTTATCTCTCCATCTCCTGATACAGAGGAGGTTTAATCAGCATTCGTCATCGTCGGCAACTCATTTGTCACATCAGTGACATCCAGATTATTATCATCGTCATCGTGATTCCGTTGTGTCAGACAAGTCGAGTCGTTTCTGGCTGCACTAGCATCCGTAGAGTGAAAATCCTCCCTTTTTTATAACTCATCTCGCTTCATGAAAGAACAGCATAAGTATCGCAATCCAAAACCGATAAACTCACTTGTTGTTCTTCATGTTCCGTTTCAGAGACACAAGACATATGCACATCAATAGCATCGTTATCATGCAACAGTGTAGACTGGCTGTTACCATCAGACGCTTCCTTCTCATCATCACTTGACTGACAGTCAACCGGAGTAGAAACCGTCACAGTTGCACAACCTTGTGCATCTTCAATCAACTTAACATTCGCGGCACGGTTCGATGACGTCAAAACACTAGAAGGCTCATTCGATGAAGTTGACCGACTAGTCACTATAGACGGATTGCTCACACTTTCTGTCTCTTTACTATCGCTGTCACTACTAAGATTCTGATGACTACTATTTCCATTGCTAGTCATAGCATCCGAAAGAGAACGAAGTATACGTTTCTTAATAACAGTAGCATCATGTCGTTTCGTATGCTTCTTAGCTTGGGTAGCAGTATGTGAGCGTAACGTACGATCATTTCGACGACGATGAGTGTCTTTCAACTTCCATCGATCACTATTTCTCGCAGGAGTATCATCAATGCTATTATCATTAGTAGCCGCATCTGTACAAGCAATAGTAGACTTCTCATGACATCCAGTCGACTCATGCACAGTGGCTAACTCTGCTCGATCAACATTGCTTTCCTTACTAGGAATGCTATTAACCTCATCTATCTTATCACTGTTGGTAGTGCTCATCCCGATACCTGTAGTACACATCAATGATGGTGGAGTGCAACAGGTGGATAATTCCATGCTTGATTCCTCATGCTGCATATTCAACACAACAGCATGTCCATGAAAGCTAGATGACTCCTCATTGCACTTAGGGTACCGAATGTTAGCCCTCACAGTACTGCCATCACTGTGGCTAAAGCTATTGCCACCGACGCCTACATTCTCCACGCTCAAACATCCAATTTCGTCTTGATCCGAAGTACTCAAAGAAGCTACATTAGCAACGTCAACCGACAGAACAGAACTACCTATAGTGATTCCACTATCGTTACCATCACGTTTATTATTCACATCAACTACGCTATTAATAGAAACATCGGGTTTCACCTTCACCTTGACGTTATTGCTGTCCACAATGATGTTCTGACTATTCATAGTTAATGACGAGTTGCGAGATAGTTGGCATGCAGGCTTTAAAGCTAAGCTACCACCGCTGCCACTTACACTGTGTTGCTATGACTACTTGGACTAGTATATAACCGTCCATCCGTTGACTGTAAACAAACATCAGCAGGACGCGCTAAGCTGCTATTATCTTCCGCTTCAATGTCATAATGCTCCGTAGAACTAGATACAGTAGCCCGCAGACATCCTGATTGCTCAGCAACATGAAGTGCTGTGTCACTATTTACGCTTGTTGTCCTAGGATCAACTCTAGGTCGTGTTAAATAATTTACCCTACGTGAAGGGTTCCGAACATAAGCTTTATTCCATACAGCCAAACCTGTTTTGTCCTTATTCATATTCACTGTACTCACTAACCTCTGTTTGCTCGAATCCGAATTACCGTCCCTTGCATTCCGAGCAGTTAAGAAGCTTCTACCATCACACACCTCGGATCCGTCTTGATGCCTACCCTTTTTGCCTTTTTCTTTCTTCGCCATCCTCAAAAAACCCATCTTATCTGCTACAAATACCGACTTCTCACTAGGATACACATCACGGGATTTTAAACCATCAGGGTAACATGCTCGGTCTTCAAGAGGATATAACTTTCTAATACAATTAACGACTCTCTTAAGTTCCGGGCGTGAGGTAGGTGCAAACGCATTTGAAGAATTCTCATGTCTCGCACGCAGATCACTAATAGCTTCCGTATCATGTCCTGTTTTAGCGCGATTAGCTAATCTTCCGAATCTACTACTAGCTATCCTAGCAAGAGACATGATAAAGTCAGTCAATTCATTGAAAGTAGGCTCTCTTTCCTCTTCGTCCCACTTAATTCCCAGCTCTGCCCACTGGACTTGCATTCGATGAGGTAAGAGCCTAACTATTCGCTCTAAAGTTAGTAGGGAATTTAGTTTTGGAATACAATTTAATTGTTCCAGAGTTAGAGCAACGTTCTGCATTTTAATTGCTAAATGCGACAATTGTTCTGGGTCGTTGTAATCCGCATTCCCAGATCTAAACAAGTCATCCAGAGTTTCACGAGCTATTACATGCGATTGTCCGAAGAGCTGCTTTAAAATAGCCTTAGCCCTTTTATATCCCACGTGGGGTTCCATTATAAGGCATCCTTCAATCGCATTTCTCGCCTTTCCCTTACAGTAATGAATTAAATACAATAAACGCAGATTATCATCATTAACTCTGGGTTCTATAAACGTTTCAAATTGCTTTATAAATCTAAAGTAATCACTGTGTTTACCATCGAAGAAGAGGAGATCAACCTTTGGCGATTCTAAGCCAACTACCGGTGTCCTAGACATCAATCCTTTCCAGGTACCTCAAAGTTCACGTCCAAACCTTGTTCCTTCGTACTTTCTAATGGCGACTTACAATAATAAGTACTAAGCATAATATCATCTTTAGTTGAGAGTGAACCCATTAAACATGAAGTATCATAAACAACTTGCCTTGCGTTCCGGGATTCTTCATGGGCTTCAACCCTCTTCGTGTTTGATTTCTTTCGAGAACTCATAGTTAATTGGAATTCAACGGAAAGTAAGTAACAAAGACAAGATATAAAGTTTTCACCGGTAAATCTTCTTCGTCAATGAAAAATCCAAAAAGATCAAAAGATCGTTTTCCAAAATACAGTTTGATCAAAGCTAAAGATAAGTAATCCAAAGTTCTTCTTCCAGGAAGATTGATATTGTAAACGATGAAAATTCCAAATGTTTCTTTGTTCTTCTTGATTGTTGGACTGTAGTTGCATTTTCTACCCCAGCAGTTCACTCCATTTCCAATAGGTGCAGGTTGGTACGCGATGTCCCAGATCCAATACCAAAACACAATAATTCTGGGAGAAAACGGTCTTTATTCAATATAAAATGGAAATACAGACAATTACCCAACAATATTACACCTTCTAAATCCAGTTTACCGCAGTGGGTATCCGTTTCTGGAAGAATAAGTGCTTCCAGTCCTTACTGCTACGGTATCAAATCCAAATATGGCTGTAGCCATATTAAATATCAAATTTAAACAACATATGAACAGTTCAGAAGCAAACATAAAAACTTCAATATAAGTACAAGATATAATAATAATAACAACAATATACAATGATAAAATCTCAAAATGGAATCAAATAGAGTAGCAAAATGTCAGCAGAAACAGTCAGTTATATCATAACACAAATATATATACATGGAGGGATTTTTCAAAAAACAAACCTTTCAAAAAGATTCTACAGTAAAGCTGGTAGATATATTAGTGATGTAGTCAAAAAATATGACGGATCAAGGAGATATGACTTGATAAGTATATCCCAATGGAATCAATTCAAAAAGTTTGACAAAAAAATGTCGAAGGGAATTCCGAAGAATACTATTTGAAAGAGAAGACAATGGATGCCATCTGATTTATTCGAAGCAATTTAGGACCTTATTTGTCATCCTAAGTCTCTAAACAATCGGTTACTATCGATAAGTCAGTAATATTTCCTTCTATCGGTTGCATTCCTCAATTAAAGCAACTCATTGAACACTACACTAGACACATATGTTTCCTGCTGGTATGAAATTGCTCTTGCAAGTGTGCATCTATGACTTTATCAAGATTCGAAACCAGAAATCTTTATTTTGCTACTTCACCTTCAATTGTGACTTATATTGATGAGTAGACTCACGTGGTCAGATTACTGATGTAAAGTTATTGAAATTATAGTCATTCACTCAGTCAGCTACAACGTAGAACTTTGTACGTATGTACATCAATTAAACGTGTCTGACAAATTAGTACAGAAACATGGGATTGCCTTTTTAAATACCATGATAGTACAGGGAGTAGAAGTATTAAGTGAGATAGTCAGTCAGTCAGATGAAACGTAGGACTTCCTACGTAAGTACATCAATTCATGTTACCATACCACATTAGCACAAAAATGTAAATGACAATTCAAATTCCATAGTAGTAGAGGTAGTAAATGTACTAGAAGTAATCGAAGAGGTTAAGATTAGAAGATATTATTCAAGAAATAGAATCAAATGAAATAGACTTAAAAAGATAAGGACAAAGTGATGAAGAATTAAAAAGTTCAGGATATGAAAGAACACAAAGAATGAATGCATCTGCGCCATTGCAAACGATTTTGAGCCATATCATTCAGGGTCTCTAACCATCGAGTACTATCATTTTGCGGACCCCAACCAGGTAGTCGACACCTATCAACATGACTCAGTTCACTTGTCAGTGACGTCATGGATTTCTGCCACGTTTTAGTCTGGCCGCCCCTAACTTTCTTCCAATCTACTCCTACACTACAAAACAAAGCTACTCGAGGCAGTTGGTGGTTAGGCATACTCAGCACATGTCTCAACCACCTCAACTGATGAAGTTTCAGAACTTCATCTATTGATCTGCCATTCTTACCTAGCAAGCGTTTCCTAATAACAGCGTTGCTCACTCGGTTGTCCCAGGATATACGAGCAATGCTTCGAAGACACCAGTGATCGAAAACCAGTAACCTACGAATATCTTCTACTCCCACTGGCCATGCTTCACAGCCATAAAGTAAGACGGAGCGAACTACTGCATCATACACTCGTCCTTTAGTCATCAAACGGATATCTCGCCTTCGCCATAAGTGACGCTGTTTTGCAAAAGCTAGACGAGCCTTCTGTATCCGAGCTGAGATTTGGTCAGTCACCAGGCCATCAGCACCGATGAGACTCCCAGCACTGTTGAGACTCACAACACTGATGAGACAGAGAAGATTGGGGTTCGAAAATATTATTCGAGTAGTATAATCCAATGAAATAAATTTGATAAACAGAAAACACATCATTATACAAGCTACGAATAACCACCATTCAGAATGGAACAAAACTTATTATCATACACGCGACAGGATGAATAATCGAACAATAACTTTCTATTTGAAAAAACAACAAACATGTAAATTACCGATGCTATTGGTAAAGCTGCGTATGGAACACCACAGATAAGATCTATTCCTTGATTGGGCAATAAACTGATGAGTGATTGTGCGACTTCATCCTAAATGTACATATCAATAAATAAATTATTCTAATGGGAATGTGATTTATTAATTTAGCAAGAAATACAACAACATTTTGGCTATATTAGAGTAAGATTCACATGACTGCTGAAACTCGATCAGCCAAAGTGGACTTAAATCTTGTTTAGTTTCTCACGCAGTTAAGTCAAACAGCCAATTAGGGTACTCATGAACAGTCACCCCCGCACTAGTGTTTTGAATCAACTTGATCCTTTTAACCTATTAGCATCCCGAAGCTAGCGACCACAGATCACGCTAAACACGGTATCTTTGGCAATCGGAACGACATTTGGCGCCGCGCTGTAAGCAACGCCACATTGCTTGGCGGGACCACGAAGAGGTAGCCGTCACTACTACTCCTGAAACGCTCTAATTATACAACGTATTTTTCTAGGCGCATACAAGATGCTGCCATCTCTGACACACCGCACAGATCTACTACAACTGGTTACTGACCCCAGCCCATAAATAAACATAACAGTCACCGGGTCGACCCAGAGAAGCCCAACGAAGCCAGACTTGGCCAGTTCGGTCATGGCAAACAGACAACAGCGCCGGACGTAGTGAACATTCGTGCGCGATTAACAGGCATTTGGCTTCTTTAACGGAATCATAGTTACTGGTTCATATTCCTTACTTATTTACTTACGCTTATTACTTTTAATTAAGCATAGGCCGACGAATAGTATTCTCCAACCAACTTTGTCCTTGACTCGTTTATATAAATGAACATATATATGTAAGATTATGAATTGAGTTGCGCGTAAAGTAGTAGTCTCAAAATACTGATTGCTTACACATCCCTAGTTGAATATCACACAAAATTAAATGAGTTGAGAAATATACAAGATTTGGATATGAGCATTTTATGTTGGGATAACTAGATCATAAGAAAGGGATTTGTACTATACAAATATCTAAATCACAGACGCTATGCGTGATTGTCACTCACATAAAATACAAACTAATCCGCCAAGATCTTCCCATGTTTTCGAAGTTCGTATACACAAAAAGAGACCGATCAATTTAGTTTTGGATGTTACCAACTGTAACAATAACTATCTTATGAATAATAACACTTTAATATTTATTCTGAATGATAAAAA